TCTGCACTACACTGACTGCCTAAAGGCTGGCAGTTTGAACCCAGCTGATAGTACTGCAGAAGAAAGGTCTGGCAATCTGTTTACATAAAGATTACAACCTAAAAATTCCCTTCGAGGCAGTTTTACTCGGACACATGGGTTCCCTATGAGTTGCGATGGACTCATTGGTGCCCAACAACAACAAGAACATCTGTCAGAATTGCCTGAGCATAGGACGTACATGGAACATCTAACTATTCAAAAGACCAGGGTTATTCCCTGAAAATTATAACCCCAGGAAGTCTGAGATTTGGCAGTATATTTGTGATTTGTAAAAGAAGTACAAGTACAAGATAGAAAATACACCCTAGGACTGTCTGCCTGATCAGATGTGAAACTGCATGTGAGATGAAAAATATTACTACTCTCACTCCGGCTACTTTATTTTTAGGGTAGGTTTGTGACACGTGATCTTCCTTGAGTCAGGGTGACTGGGCCGCAGTGGGATCACCTGGTAGAGAATGGAAAGGACAGGCAAACTGGGAGTATTTGGAAAGTGTTGATGACGTTTTACATCCAGGCATTAATGGAATAGTAGGGAGAAGCTTTAGAACAGAAAGAAAAAGAGATAGGAGAATTTTCAATTTACTGACACTGATCAGTGTGGACTCATAGGGACCCTATAGGACTGGGTTAGAACTGCCCCTGTGAGTTTTCCGAGACTGTAACCAGAGTAGAAAGGTCCGTCTTCGCTTGTCGGGTGGCTGGTGGTTTCAAGGGCAGGCTTGGCAGTGAGCAGCCCAGCACATAAACCCCTACACCACACCACCAGGGCTAGGAGGAAGAAGAAGACTATATAATAGTCAAGGAAGGGGTGTGCTACAATCAAGAGAACACTCTCACCATAAGATCTGTGAGGCAGTTGCATGATCTACTGTCAAATTGAGGGAAGGGGTGGAGTCTAGCCAATCAGGTCATGGCCAATGAGGCCTTGGTGTGAGATTGGCCTTCTCCTGAGGATTCTGGGAACTCCTGTTTTCCTCCCTGGAGGTGGGACACTCTCTCGCCTTGACATTCCTGTTGACAAGCCAGATGAGACCAGAGCCCTGGAGCTGAAGGAGCCAAGTGGCG